GGCTCAAATGTTTGATTTTGCTAATTTTTTTGTTCCCCAAAGAAAGATAAACATGCATAGTGATAAAAGCCAAAATATGAAATTTACTGAGTAATCCACTATTTTGCAGAAGGGGGTCAAAATGGCAATTTTCACCCGAGATTCAAAGCCAAATTACAGGAGGTTAAAAATGACTTCAGGAAGATGGCAGCATCATAATGTTACTTTAACCCAAAGATTGGTAGGTCCGTTAGTAAAATCTGTTGAATTTAGCAATCTTTGTTGCATTATGTGCCAATGAAAAACCATGCAAAAATGGGGAAAGAGCACTTTTCAAGTTTTTTTCTTTTTTTCTTTCTTCAAAGTTTGCATGTCTGTAACTCAAAAAGTACTAAAGATATCTTGCCGCCCTTTTACGATATTGGGTCTTAACAAAGTTTCCTTTTGATATCTTCATTTTTAAAGCTCAATATGGTTCGGTTCCAGAGATAATGGAATTTAAATACGGCTCCAGGAGTAAATCATTAAATTGTACACATTTTCAGTGGTCAAAAACCAAATGTGGGCCACTTTGCATAAATATACTACTTTTCTTTTAAAGAGGAATGTCTAAAGAGCAAATAATGTTGAAAGTAGAAATTAGGGCTTGCCCCACTTATAGTCGACTAATCGTTAGTCAATGAGAAAAGGCTTAGTCGACCACATTTCTTTTAGTTGTGTGGCGAGTATCCCGAGTCCAGATTAGTGTCGCCCTGGAAACGCCGCTGCCCCACTGATCACCGACGCACAACACCTGTGCGCGATGAGTGGCACACCTGGAGCTCGTTCCCGCTGGCCTTAAAAGCCAGGAGAAGAGACGCCAGCGGGAGAGCACCCCAGAGCTCCAGGCAGCATTCACGATTGTTCTCCTTATTTCACAGACTCTGAAGGCACCCAGGGAGAGGGATCTGCACCACGGCACTTCACCCCACGAGCTCCACTCTGAGACGGGCACCGAGCACCTGTCATCAAGGGCACGTGTGATCAGTGTGTGTGGGCAAATAAATCACCCTCCGGGGCTCTTTCGACCAGTACCGAGTCTGTGCTCTCATTCACCCCGCGACATATGGTGGAGAATGCGGGCGGAACAGGTGAATTGAGACACAGACGGGTACCGCCAGGTGGCCTTAACGATATCTATGCTTCTTCTAGGAGAAACCGCTCTCTTCCCCCGGACACATGGAAGAGGTCATCCGCCGCCTAACGGAGCTCTCGGCCCGCCAGCAGCAGGGATTGGCCGGGGTTCCAGAAGCTCCTCCTCGGATCCAGGATCCCACGCCGTACCGCCCGGAACGGGCCACGGCGACCCCGTCAGGGACCGCCCAGCCCCAGGCCGGTCTACCTAGCGACGGACAGCGAGAGGGAGGGTGAGTGTCAGCCTCCTAATCTGCCATCTGTCTACCATGATGTGTTTTCCCAGGTCACGACCGGGGGCTCGTTTGGAAGGGAACAACGCGAGGACGACCGCCTACGTAACTGCTGGGATCAAGTGCGCCACATTGATGAGGTAGACAGGCTCCCGGAGCCTCACCCCCTCCCTCATTTAGAAATACGCAATGGTCTGCTGTACTGTGTCGCCCACAGGCGGGGGGAGGACAAATTCCTCCTGGTAGTGCCTACCACCAAGACGGAGACGGTCATGGAGCTGGCCCACGGCCACCCAATGGCGGGACACCTAGGAGCCGACAATACCGTCCAGCGCATCCGGGACCGTTTTCACTGGCCCGGACTAGAGGCCGAAGTGAAACGGTTCTGCCGTAGCTGTCCCACCTGCCAGCAGACGGCTCCGTGCCGCCCTCCCCCCAGCCCGCTCATTCCACTACCCGTCATCGATGTGCCCTTCGAGCGGATCGGGATGGAGCTGGTGGGACCGCTGCCGAAGTCTGCCCGGGGACATGAGCACATCCTGGTTATCCTGGACTATGCCACCCGGTACCCGGAAGCCATTCCCCTGAGAGCGGCCAACGCCAAGAACATTGCCCGTGAACTGTTTCTGCTGGCCAGCCGCGTGAGACCCCGAGCAGAACTACCGTCATAGAGCACGAGGTCCGCACACCACCCGGAGTCGTAGTCCGGCAGCGGCCCTACCGGATACCGGAAGTTCGCCGGCCGGCTATAGAGGAGGAAGTCAAGAAGATGCTCCAACTAGGTGCATGCCCCAGACTTCGGCTGCCCCTTCACCCTATATACGGACGCCTCCGGCACCGGTTTAGGGGCAGTCCTCTCCCAGCTCCAGGATGGAGAGGAACACGATTATCTATCTATCTATCTATCTTCAGTCTGAATCTATGTATCTATCTATCTATCATAGCAACACTCTAGCAACTATCCAAACCAACCTAGCAACCACCCAGGGTACCCTAGCAACCACAGCATAGCAACACTCTAGCAACCACCCCGAGTACCTTAGCAACCGCATAGCAACACCTTAGCAACCGCCCCGGGTACCCATGCAACCGCATAGCAACACCCTAGCAACCACATAGCAACACCTTAGCAACTGCTCCGGGTACCCTAGCAACCACAAAGCAACACCTTAGCAACCACCCCGGGTACTTGAATTATGCAAATATCTTCATAACAACTAGTGGTCAACTGATATGGATTTTCATTTTATCTATCTATCTATCTATCTATCATTCTTTCATTCTTTTCTCTTATTTTTTTGAAGGCCAGTGCTGGTATCTTATCAGTCAATATGTATAATATCAGAACATTTAATTTAAAGATAGTACAACCACATTCATATTATTTACTAAATTATATAATTTAAACAATTAATAAATATAAAAAGAACTTGATATAAAATAAAGAGATTTGCTTAGATGGCGACTTCTTGATTCTGTAATTATATTATAGTATTTTTTCACAAATAAATTGTTAAAAATATAAATAGGGAAGGAAGGAACAATGCAACCAACAGTGCACCCAGTATGTTCTGGTAAATTGGTGCACACTGGGAATCATATGAAACACTGACCATTAAACACAGAGTATGTGTTTATGCAGTCTACAAATGCACACGTCAGAGGACCTCACAGCTGTATTCGAAAAAGATCGCAGGCTTAGTGAAATTAAATGATTATTACATATGTCTAAATAATATGCCACAAAAAAATTATATATTTAAAAGCCAAATATCGTCCGATATTGGTCGACCACTAATAATGACATGGCCATCTGAAATGAAGAGAAAGAGCTGCTTCGTTTATGGTTTATATATCCATAGTTCTAGTTTCAGTTTCTCTTGAAGAATATGTAAAGTTATTTCCTCTCATGCAGGTGCAGAACATGCTAGATTGCCATTGACTGTAGTACTTCTGTTACTGACTCATAAATACAGTCTCTTGTCGCCATCTAACGGCACAACAATGTAACCAAAATCACTATCAATAACACACAGACCATTTCTCAGTACCAAATATTTCAAGTTTAACCACTACAGAGACATCAGAGTCAGCGGCAAATTCCAGAAAAACTGGCTGAGGCAAGGCTGTTCTTGGTGGGTTCATGAGCACTGAACGTCCACGGACACCCCCTGTTGAAAAAACCAGCATATGCTGGTTAGGTATGTTTTGATGCTGGGATGCTGGTTTAAGCTGGACCTTTTGCTGGTTTATGCTGGTCCTTTGCTGGTTTAAGCTGGTCCTTTGCTAGTTTAAGATGGTCCTTTGTTGGTTTAAGCTGGTCCTTTGCTGGTTTATGCTGGTCCTTTTGCTGGTTTATGCTGGTCCTTTGCTGGTTTAAACTGAATAGTTTATTTCGCTTATAAATGTGCCACATTCTGTCATGTTGTCAAAGAAGGCTTATGTTGTCTGGAGTAAAGTAAACTTTTGATATGAATTATATGACGCATTGCTATTCTTCTTTTTTATGTCATTTTTAGTGATATAGACTATATATCTGTGAGGTCACTGAGGTCCGTATAAACATGTATAATTCAGTTTAGACTGTTTGCAAGAATGTTTAGCGTCTGTGGTATGAAATGATCGCTGCAAGATGCTGGCGGAGTGAACGAGTCTTGTGAGAGAGTTGTGAGTGAGGGCGCGGGTGCCAGATCCAGCTATCATAAGCGTTTTTAGACTTGTCTTTTCCACTTAATTTAACACTTTAGAAAGTTGCAGTTTAGCGCCAGTGATGTCTTTGATATTATTTCAAATCTTTCGCAAATAAGATAACAGTTTATTTTTATTTATTTTTTGGTTTTTGTTTGTTTTAATAGCAATATCTGGCATCACTGCATCGTCGGCACTTTAAGTGACAGTAATCAAAAAAGCCAGGATAGCTCATTCGGTCAGAAACATTATCAATGCTGTCAAAACAGTAGCATTTCAATGTCATTCAGTTGTTACCATTAGTTAATTTAAATTAGATGTTAAAATTAGATATTAAATTAAAATAAATTAGTTAATAAGTCATGCTAAAAACATTGATAAGAGCACTAGACAAACTTATAATCTATTTAGCAATGGTTATTAATAAAAACGGTAACAGTAATATGTATTGTTGCATGAATAATAAACAGCTGATAAAATACCTGTAACTGTAGTAAATTTGTAACAAATTTTGATGCAATAGGGAATGATTTAAAAATGAGCATTCCTCCAAAACAGAGAAAACATATTTCACACTTCTTTTAAAGTGTTTATAGTGTATATATTTAGTTGTATTTGGTTATTATTGCACCCCTTAGTTAGTTAAGGAGTTTTTTGATTCAGCTTTGACTAATGTACGATTTTATGTATATATATATATCTAAATAAATAAACAAATAATGACCGTTTTATGTTTGCACATGCAGACTCAAGGTATACTATGTTAGAAAAGGTTAGCCAGCTGCATGTCAGATGAAAGAGGAAATCTTTTTTATTCTTCTTAGATACAGCAATGTCATTGTGTGTGTCAAACTCTGAGTGGATGATGCAAAAACTTTAAAATAACACCTGTTTTTTCACCTCGATTAAATGTTTCTCTAATGACTGTTCGACTCTAATGTATCAAGATGAAGCTGTTCATAACCATTCTCACCCTAACTGCTGTTCTCTCAACTAGTGCTGAATGTAAGTCAAAGTTTTTAATTTGCTTAGATACTATTTTCATAAATGATAATGATAAATTTGTAACACCTAGTCATTTCAAAAGCTACTTTTGTGCATTCATTAGGGTTGAATGTTTCATTAAATGTTTCCGTTATAAGATTATTGTGTAAGGTTATCAGAAGATTTGGTTTATTATTTTAAAAAAATGCTTTGTTATTACCGACAAGTAGTGATTTTCAAAACTCAGTGCAAAACATCTAGCAACGTAATTGAAATATTTGTTCAATATAACAAAAATCAGTAAAAATAAATAAATAAAATAAAAAATAGGTGATTTAGGAGTTTTATATGATACATAATATTATTTGAATTGTAAGACATATTTATTGAGCCATTACAAGTAATTTATGCAATATGCGAGGTACTCAAACACCTTCTGTAATGGCCACATAACATTTTTGAAATGTATACAAAGATGTCATCCAAATAGATACTTGAAATCACAGATGCTGGGTTTTAAGAATTGTAACTCAAATACAGTTTAGAAGACTAGTCTTATCTGATTTTGGCTAATGTCTTTAATCATTGGCCTACCAGTGAAATTTCACAATTTTACATACCAGTTTCAATATTTAAAAAAAATAAATAAATAAATGGATAAATGTTCTCTAACTTGTCAATAAGATAATGTTATTGTAGTAGTTCAGCCCTAAAAGCTGTGAGGATATTTACATTGCAATTTTGATGATATGGAAAATCTCTATTGATTGACATCAGCAAGAAATATATTGTATCATATTTTCTCAGCTATCCAAAGTAACTGAATTGTCAACCTCAAAAATTAAGCTTATTGTATTTGTTTTATGATGGTGAATTTGTTTCAGTTGAACATGAAGCTTTTCTATATGCTGCATGCTCTGATGTGGAAGAAGAGTTTTACATTGGATATGACGAAGAGGAATACGGGCATGTCGACTTTAAACAGAAGAGAGCAGTAGAGACACTACCTGATTTTGTGGGACAAAAAAACATAACATTTCCCAGATTTTATGAAATCGGTTCTGATGCAATAGTAGGATGCAAACGTGACTTACCAATATTTATTGAAATATTCAAGAGCCTACCACTAGAAATAGGTAAGACATGAGAATGTGCTATGAGCCTTTACACGTTTAGTTTTAAACATGACACTTTAATGTTCACTTTCTTAAGGGTTTATAATGGTTTCATTAAATAAGCAATATTACATAAACAACACTGTGTTATTGCTAAATATCAGCAGTGTCCAAAACACAAAATGATGTAAAACTGCATTCTTACACCACAGGTTCAGTATCTTTTCATGCCATTAAAAAAGTGCCCAAACCTCTGTCACTAATTTGAAAACATCATGTTACAACTAGAAATTATGGATTAGGTTATTTATGAGAAGTAAAAGAAAGCAGAATGTGTGTATGTTGCATCACATCTACGAAAATTCAATACAACAGAACCATTCATTCATTCAAGCATGAAACACTGATACATTTGTTTCCCAAAATCAAAACACTTAAGAACATGAAACTGATATTGGTGATCTATATGATCAAAGGCTTTCTCCTGATCTAGAGTAAGCCTGATCTTTTCTGACTGTGAAACAATGGCCCAGTTCAGTGTTGACACCTTGTGGACAAACTAAGTAGTGCAAAAACCATTCAAAGTGCATGTGGGAGCTGCGCATACATTGTACGCATACACCTCATTCTACACAGAATGGCAGGAACACATTTACCACACAAAGTAAAGATGAGAACCAACAAGGAGCAACTAAAACACAGCTATATACACAAGAAGCAAACAAAGGCAACTAAACTAGACACAGATGAAACTAAGTAACTAAGGCAATTGACAAAGAGGCCCGGAAGAAGGGCAAAACCAGAGGTAGAGAGGACACAGGAGGAGCCAGAGGGAAGAAGGAGCCCAATCGAGCTGACGAGGTGGAAGGCTAAGGCACAGCCAGAGGCCCAGAAGTCTGCGGCAGAACCAGGACAACAAGGAACAAGGGAGTGTGGAGCCATGGTGGAGGCAGCAGGCTGACAGGCCAAGGTGGTGTCATGGGCCCAGAGACTCGCAGGAATCCACCTCACAAGGCTGAGCTACTGGAGGAGAAGACTGAGGTGGAGCCGAAGAGCTGGAGGGAGCCAGCACAGAGGGTGAAGCCAAGGAGATGAGCAGCACCAGCAGAGCACGTGGATCCATGGAAGTGGTAGGAAGGACAAAGGGGTGCGTTTCCAAAAAGCTCTGTTAGCTAACTATGGTCACATGTTCTGCCATTATCAAAAAAATTTTGTTACCCAAAACCACAGTTCCAACAAACATTTGTGAACTGCATCGCAAACTTACATATTGGAACCCACAATAAATCAAACATCAAATAAAGCAAAATGATGGAACAAAAAAAGTGAATTGTGATCGCGAATCAAGTAGTTAGCAGAAGCTATAGCAAAACCACTTGCATGTCACATAATTAACGACAGTCCTATATTGTTGTAGGTGTAACCGGCTTTGGAACACAGTCGTGACTAGCTAGTTAGTTTCTACCATGATGCAGAGTATCCAAGTACACTCTTAAAAATAAAGGTTCCAAAAGGGTGTTTTGCAGTGAAGAACAATTTTTGGTTCCCCAAAGAACCTTTCAGTGAACAGTTCCTAAAATAACCATTTTGAAGAACATTTTAAAAATCTAAAGAACCTTTTTTGACTATAAAAAACCTTTTCTGCATTTGAAAGGTTCCATGGATGTTCAAGGTTCTTCATAGAACCATTGATGCCAATAAAGGACCTTTATTTTTAAGAGTGTAATTTCAAACTGAAGAACACGGAGTTCGGGGATGGGGGCATTTGTGGTTGTGCTGCTGACCACAAATCAATTAGCCAGTGCTCTTCTTTTGGCCCTCGGAGAGACCTGAAACAAGATCTGGCCTTGGGATGGATGTAACAACTGGCTCAGGTTTTATGATGGACATAACGACTGGCTCTGGCTCTGTGACTGGAGGGGGCTCTAGAGCTGGGTCCATGGTGGGCGTGAACTCCTGCTTTGGTTCTGGGGCACAGACATCATCTCTGGTTAGGATGAGTTTTCTTGTGTGTATCGGGCAGAGAGATGGCTGCTAAAGTTGGTACTGGTTGCACGGAGTTGGAGCTGATGCTATAATTGACGGAGACGTCACGTCAGAATTGGGATTTCACTTAGAGAGACCAATCAACTCCGAGTGTAACTAAACGAGCCAATGCACATTGGCATGCAATGATTGCATCCAGCTGCCCCATCCTTTCCGAAGGAGGTTCAGAAGCACTTACACATATGAATAACTGTTTAGGTGCATATGGAAGATTAGAGGTGATTGTAACTCTCTTGGAAAATGGCAGAAGTCTGCCGGGGAAACACAGGCTCTGAGGCTATACCATGGATTGACACATATGGGATCCACTTGGGTCACTACATATAGAACCCAGCCCTCCACCGGTTCTCACGGATTCATCGAGTTCATCGGGCCTGGCGCCGCACGTCTGGGTGCCGAGGTGACGGAAGAGCTCGACATGGTCTACAGTATGGACTCTCTGGAGCAGTTATAGCAAGCCACCCGTTTGAGGTGAGAACACAGGAGGATACCAGCTCCACAGGAAGGCTATAGAATCTAGCGAACGTGTTGTGGGTCGCCCAGTCCGCAGCTCTACAAATATCTGCCAGCGAGGCACCACGAGCCAGAGCCCAGGAGGATGCGACACTTCTAGTTGAGTGGGCTCTCAACCTGAATGGGCAGGGCACACCCTGTGCCTGATAAGCCAGGGTGATGGCATCCACTATTCAGTGGGCCATCCTCTGCTTAGGGACGGCATTCCCCTTCTGCCGGCCTCCATGACAGACAAAGAGCTGGTCTGAGGTCCTGAAGCTTTGTGTCCTGCCAACGTAGCATTTTAATGCTCGGACAGGACAAGCAAAGCTAGGGCTGGGTCTGCCTTCTCCGGGGGCAGCGCTTGCAGGCTCACCACTTGATCCCTGAAGGGAGTAGTGGAAACCTTGGGCACATAGCCGGGCCAGGGCCTCAGGATTACCTGGGAGTCAGCCGGCCCAAACTCTAGGCACGAATCGTCGACCGAAAATGCATGCAGGTCCCCCACCCTCTTGATGGAGGCCAGTGCAAACAGGAGCAGAGATTTCATTGACAGAAACTTTAGCTCAAATGTCTGCAAAGGCTCAAATGGGCCCTGCTGTAGTGCTCTGAGCACTAGAGACAGGTCCCAAGAGGGTATAGAGGGGGGCTGTGGAGGATTTAACCTTCTCGCCCCCCTAAGGAACCTGATGACCAGGTCATGCTTTCCCATTGACTTCCCTTCCAGCAATCGAAGGCCACATAGGCTTTAAGGGTGGAGGGAGACAGCCTTCGCTCCAACCCTTGCTGCAAAAAGGACAGCACGACTCTGATCGGGCATTTCCGGGGGTCTTCTCGGTGAGCTTCACCATTTGACGAACAGGTTCCACTTTAAAGCGTAAGCGTGTCTTGTAGATGGTGCTCTTGCCGAAGTGATGGTGTCAGCCACCTCCTGGGGTAGGTCATCTAGAACCTCCACGCCCCGTCCAGGGACCAGACATGAAGTTTCCAGAGGTCTGGACGCGGGTGCCATAAGGTGCCCCGTCTCTGAGTCAGTAGATCCTTCCTCAGAAGAATCTGACAAGGAGGGGCTGTCACGAGGAGCATCAGTTCAGGGAACCAGGTCTGAGTGGGCCAATAAGGCACCACGAGCAGGACCTGCTCCACGTCCTCCCTGATCTTGCAGGGGGCAGCGCTTGCAGGCTCACCACTTGATCCCTGAAGGGAGTAGTGGAAACCTTGGGCACATAGCCGGGCCAGGGCCTCAGGATTACCTGGGAGTCAGCCGGCCCAAACTCTAGGCACGAATCGTCGACCGAAAATGCATGCAGGTCCCCCACCCTCTTGATGGAGGCCAGTGCAAACAGGAGCAGAGATTTCATTGACAGAAACTTTAGCTCAAATGTCTGCAAAGGCTCAAATGGGCCCTGCTGTAGTGCTCTGAGCACTAGAGACAGGTCCCAAGAGGGTATAGAGGGGGGCTGTGGAGGATTTAACCTTCTCGCCCCCCTAAGGAACCTGATGACCAGGTCATGCTTTCCCATTGACTTCCCTTCCAGCAATCGAAGGCCACATAGGCTTTAAGGGTGGAGGGAGACAGCCTTCGCTCCAACCCTTGCTGCAAAAAGGACAGCACGACTCTGATCGGGCATTTCCGGGGGTCTTCTCGGTGAGCTTCACCATTTGACGAACAGGTTCCACTTTAAAGCGTAAGCGTGTCTTGTAGATGGTGCTCTTGCCGAAGTGATGGTGTCAGCCACCTCCTGGGGTAGGTCATCTAGAACCTCCACGCCCCGTCCAGGGACCAGACATGAAGTTTCCAGAGGTCTGGACGCGGGTGCCATAAGGTGCCCCGTCTCTGAGTCAGTAGATCCTTCCTCAGAAGAATCTGACAAGGAGGGGCTGTCACGAGGAGCATCAGTTCAGGGAACCAGGTCTGAGTGGGCCAATAAGGCACCACGAGCAGGACCTGCTCCACGTCCTCCCTGATCTTGCACAGTGTCTGTGCGAGATGGCTCACTGGGGGAAACGCATACTTGCGAAGGCCCCGCGGCCAGCTGTGTGCCAGTGCACCCAGCTCCATGACGTCGCTTGCTTGAGGCTGCTGCGTTTGCGGCACGGGAGTGGACGCAGTGGGCCACCCTTGGCGATGAGCAGGCTGGGGGGCTGCGGGCGGCAGATGGGTGGAGGTATGCCTCAGTATGCTCCTGTGCAGCCCAGAACTGCTGGGCCATGTTGTCGACTGCGTCGCGGAAGAGGCCAGTCTGGGACATAGGGACCTTGAGGAATCGACTTATCGGCGTCCCTCATGTCGACCAGACACAGCCAGAGGTGACTCTCCTGGACCACAAGTGTGGACATCGCATGACCCAGAGAACTCGCAGTGACCTTCATCGCTCAAAACGCGAGGTCAGTTGTGGTTCGGAGCTCTTTTAGAACTACCGGATCGTGACCACCCTCGTGCAGGTCCCTCGGTGCTTTAGCCTGAAGAACCAGTGCTTACACTTTATTTCGATAGTCAACTTTAGACATTCTACTAACTATAAGTAACTTTGTAACTACATGTCAGCTACATGTCAACTAATTCTGATTAATTTGCAACTACATGTCTACTAACTCTCAGAGTAGACTGTTAGGGTAGGTTTAGGGATAGTTGAATAAGCTGACAAAGAAAGTGTTAGAAGATATTAAGCAGACAGTCTACTAATACTCTACTAATTGCTAGTTGACATGTAGTTGCAATGTTATTTACTGTTAGTAGAATGTCTAAAGTGGACTACCGAAATAAAGTGTTACCAAACCAGCAGGCCATATAAGCGTCGCCCGAACAGACCAGACGAGTGCCTACAGACCCGGGAAGAATGGCACCAGAGCGGGGCGCTGAGAACCAGCACGGACCACCCCGAAGAGCCAATTGTCCAACCTTGAGGGCTCGGGACACGGTTGAGGTTTCCACTCAAGCCCTACCCTCACGGCGGCCTGGGAAAGCATAGCCGTCATTTCCGGCTCCGATACAGGCATTGCTACAGTCTCGGAGGGCAGCAGTGCAGCCAAATCATCCTCTCCAAAAAGCTCTGGCTCACCCTCCAATGCAGCGATTGACATCCGGTCGTCGGGAGGAGCGCCAAAGGATACTGCTGGTACGCTCCCTGTAGAGGGCCCAGCACATTCCATTGGCAGCTCAACTGGTTGCAGATTGCAAGAGGAGCGATGGTCCCTCGAGGGTTGGTTCCCTGGAGGGTTTGCCACCACTGTTGTTTGGGGGCATCACTGCTGCACTCACTGCTCTTATCCATGTTAGGCTGGGTGGGGATTTCTTTCCCAGAACAGAACCATACTGTCAATACAAACTGTATGTTAATCAAGCATAGTGTTAATTCTGGCAGGTCACGTTAGTCAAGAGTGCATCAGTTTACTATCAGCGCTGGTTCTGTTCTGTTTACCCTGAATGGGTTATCGCTGTGCTGCTCTTATTTTTTTTTTAATTTTTAGGTCAAATAAATGCAGCCTTGGTGTAACAACATAAATATACCTAAAGATTCCAATCTTTTGAATGTTGTGTGTATAAAATATGTACACAGTGTCATGAAGTTGTGTCTCAAACTTTATATAATGCATATTAAAATATCTTTGCTTACTCGACTGAACTACAGAATGAATGAATAAAGTTTTCTGTTTAGATCTAGATGCACCCCAGACATCCATCTATCCAAAGGATGATGTAGAGCTGGGTGTTCAGAACACTCTCATCTGTCATGCGACTGGCTTCTATCCTCCATCTGTCAACATCTCATGGACTAAGAATAATGTTATTGTGACAGAGGGCATAAGTTTAAGTCAGTACCGTCCAAGGACAGATGATACATTCAACATCTTCTCCACTCTTAAGTTCACACCTGCTGAAGGAGACATTTACAGCTGTACTGTGAACCACAAAGCCCTCCAAGGTCAACCTCAGACCAAAATATGGGGTGAGTGTGATTTTCAAATGGAATAGACAATATTACAGCTTTTTGTTGTTGTTACAAAAACAAATTACTGGTCCCACTTTATATTAAGTGTCCCTAATATCTGTGTACTTACATAGTAACTAGATGTGTACGTACTATGTAACCACAGTGTAAGTACACATTGGTACATAGTATCTACAGCTGTAATATTTCTGTAACTACACACATGTAACAACCCTCCGAATGGTTTGTGTAAATACAAATGTGTAACAGGACATTGGTAACAACACTTTTTTTCACGTCACTAAGTACTCGTGTAACAGGAATTATATAACTACATTTTGTAACAACATGTATAGGAGTAATTGGAACCATTTGATCCGGTACCAAAAAGTGTTGTTACCAATGTCCTGTTACACATTTGTTCTTACACATACCATTCTGTGAGTTGTTACATATGTGTAGTTACACAAACATTAGCGCTGTAGATACTATGTACTTGCACTGTGGTTACATACTACGCACACTTAATATAAAGTGGGACCAAATTACTTGTTAATCTTTTATCCCATGGATTTATTTTCCAGATGTAGATGTTGCCCTCCCAAGTGTTGGTCCAGCAGTGTTTTGTGGAGTAGGTCTGACTCTTGGGCTGTTGGGAGTCATTTTGGGAACGTTCTTCCTCATTAAAGGACACAACTGTCACTGACTAATGAAGCCATGGAAGCAAACTTTGTTTTAGTTTCCTTGGTGATTCATTGTTTGATAACCTGCTGCACCTGTTAATTCGTTTCTCTGTGTATTTAGGCATTGTGTTTCTTCTGTTCTTGATGTGATCTTGTCATTATTAAGTTAGTTGTGCCAGTGTGCTTTGTGTCTTTTTGTTAAACTTCACTGCTTGTATTTAGACCCAGCTCTTTATTGCAACCTACGCATGGTAGTTGAAGAACGTAGGCAAAGTGCACTAAAGAAACAGACAAACCTTAGGCGGAATCTGTGCCTTAATTGGATTTAATTGTGTGATGTGTGACGTCAGTTATCCAAGTTTTCATTAAAATAGCTCATGCATCCAAAACCTATTTGAACTCAAAATAATTCGTATGGGATTCAGATTTATTTTTTTACTAGAAAAACAATTTAGGGGCTTATTGGTTGGGTTTGCTGCATAAATCATGATGATGAGACCAGCTTTGGAAATAGAAAAAGTAAAAAACTATTGATTGGAAGCATCCAAATATGCCTGTTATAGCAGACTAAGAAATATTATGTGAAAAGAGTAAAATGTCCAAATTCACAGTGTTCATAAAACTAGATGAAAAGTAGACCTCCTGAGATTACTTACAAAGTCTGGTGAGTTCTGAAGTGCATACAAAGGATACTTTACGCATAAGGAAAGGATTCGTAAATGGTGAGTAAGCGAAGCAACTGTGGTTCACATGATAGTATCAACACGGTTGATGTAGTATGTCCAAATTGCATTTGGGCTACACACATTTACAGTGCAAACTGTGTAGGTCCCTATATATATATATCTGTTAAACGTAAATACATATGAACATATAGGCTAAATATCTAGCCAAAACAAATTTATTGAGAAACTGAAACATACCTAAATCTCTCATTTGTACGGTGTACATTTTTAGAAATCTCTCATTCGGCGCAAATACAAATGTTTCCCACTAGAGGCTCTGGTGCATTCACTTTTTCCTTATAACAGCAGAAATGACTTAAAATAGCCTACCTGTCATTTTTAGTCATACACATAAGAATAAGACATTATTTGGAACTGTAAGGGGTTCACTTTCACTTGTGCATATTCACAAGAAAAACAAAACATTGTGCCTTTGTAAAACAAAACAATCAGGATGTGTATTCAGCCGTCTCGGTTTTCTTGGTCTTGTGGCACTTTTTTTTTTGTGTGCTAATTATTTAAGTGAAACAATTTGTGTAGCCTTTTTAATGTTGTTCCTTTTATATATGTGTCCCTGCAGCACAGAAGCAGTGTTAAGTCGCTGGGGGATATTTGTAGCAATAGCCAACAATACATTGTATGGGTCACAATTATACATTTCTCTTTTATGCCAAAAATCATTAGGATATTAAGTAAAGATCATGTTCCATGAAGATATTTTGTACATTTCCTACCGTAAATATATCATAACTTAATTTTTGATTAATAATATGTATTGCTAAGAACTTCATTTGAACAACTTTAAAGATGATTTTCTCAATATTTAGATTTCTTTGCACCCTCAGATAACAGATTTTCTAATAGTTGTATCTCGGCCAAATATTGTCCGATCCTAACAAACCACACACCCTTAAGACTGGTTTTGTGCTCCAGGGTCACAAATGTCATTTTATTCTGTTTTCATTCCTTCACAGAAGTGCTGCAAGTGTGTGATGTGACGATGTGTGAATCCTCATCATGTTCTGTTGTTTGTGCTGCTATTTGCGCATGCATTAAACCCCTGAAGAAAAAAAAAGGTATTTTCTCATTTAGTTTAAATCTAATTTAACAACATCGTTTTGTTAACGGTTAATAATCAGTCTGTCAGGTCAACTTTTAGGGAGGCCTAAAAGTCACTGTATTCTACCTTAGTGTGTTAGTCACTAACATTATACAGTATTTTTTAATAAAGTTACCAAGGTTTTTCAAGCGTTCAATAGTTTCTGTAAGAAAAAAGAAGGGGGAAAAAATCCACACCAGTTTTATATAAATTGATATTTGGATGGTGTTTGAGATGATAATTGAAAGCAGGATACTACCTAGTAACATTTGATATTTACACCTGGAGTAACTGGTTGGACAGTCAGCTTAAACATCCCCCTGACATGAACTAAAGCACTGGCAACATGCAGCTGGGATTCAGTGCTTGTGGAAATGTCACTGCTACAGTACTTGAGTTGTCATCTCATTTTGACACTGTCTGTACTGACTGGAGCAAAAAGTGGTAAGATGAGAGTAATACAATTGCATATCAACAATAACTGCATTAGTAGTAGTAGATGTAAATGATTTAAATGATATATGTTTTTTAGAAGAGTGACATGTTTGATTGTCCTCTGAGGATGGATTCTCTATAATATATTACTTAAACTGTTTGTGGACAGCATCATTTGACATATGACCGTACGCCACAGATTCATCTTTCCCTGTGTATTACTTATAAACGTATGACAACAAGAAAAAAAGAGAGGAGCTTTTATATTTATCTGACAAAAGTGTGATTTTTGTTCTGCCTCTTTTTCAGCTGATGACTATTACATAAGACAGTCAAGATGCATCTACAGCTCTCCCGATTTCAGTGACATGGTGTATATTGACAGCTTTTATTTAAATCAATTTCTATTCACACAGTTCAACAGTACTTTGAGGAAGTTTGTGGGGTTTAGCGAGATCGGAATGAGAGTTGCAGAGGGATGGAATAATAGCCCCTTTTTGCTAAGCGAGAGAACTGGTGTTAATGTATGCACATTTCTGTTTAAAAGCAAGGACTCACCTGACCTTGTTAAAGTAGGTAAGTGGCTCAAAACTTTTCTTCTTTTTTTTTACATTTGTGTTATTTCTATATGCGCATATACTAACTGGAAAACAATTATTAATGGGAAAAAATGTTTTAATGTTATGAGTTATGTTACTCTAACATCTAAGAATTAAATCTATTTTGAGTAGAAATAATTGATATTTCTCTGCTTTGATCAAATGCCATTTCTCATGTCAACCTGAAATATATGTACACATACATGCATTGGACTGCATATTTATAATGTTGCTCTCTTTGATTCAGTGAAACCAAAGGTTAAGCTCAGTTCAGTGACACAGGCTGGTGGCAGACATCCAGCTGTGTTGATGTGCAGCGCATATGAATTTTATCCTCCGCGCATCAAAGTTTCCTGGCTGAGAGATGGTAAACCAGTGACCTCTGAAGTGACCTCCACTATGGAGATGGCTGATGGTGACTGGTATTACCAAATTCACTCTGAGCTGGAGTACACCCCCAAATCTGGAGAGAAGGTCTCCTGTATGGTTGAGCATGCTAGCTTCAATAAACCCATGTTCTATGACTGGGGTAAGATGAGACACATAGGCCTGGTTTTGCAGACAGGGCTTAGATTAAGCCAGGATTAGGCCAATTAGGACATTTAAGGCTACGTCTACATTAATCCGGATACATCTGAAAATGGTGTTTTCGTTTTAAAACGCTCTCTGTCCACACTAGCGTTTTCCAGAAGTGTCTCATCCACACTGAAACATCAGAAAACGTTAAACTCGCTTTCTGCGCATGCGTAAATCCTAAGTGTAAAACGATACACACATGAGATGTTTTCATGCAGTTTTTCTGACAGGATTATTTTATTTACGAAAATAACTCCCCATTCACTGATGCACGCGTCCAGGTCGCACACACTCACGATTGTGTGTCTGATCTAAAACGCAACTGCCCTCATGTTTTGCCGCAAATAGCGATCGCGAGTAAATTTGCTTTCATCTTTGCAGGACTGTGATATGAAGAGTGTACAAAGTAACACAGCTATAGCAATAGTGTGAAAGTGCATAATGTGCACGATACCAGTATAAACACGGATATCTATTGGTATAATATGCGTCACATGACTAAACTTGCGTCATCGTTTTCAAAAGCACACTACGACGCGAAAAACGCCGTTTTCAGATTGATCCACTTTGGAGATGATTAAAAACGCTGTCTCAGTGTGGACGGAAGGCCAAAACGGAGAGAAAAAGATGCGTTTTCAAACGAAAACGTATTAGTGTGGACAAGGCCTTTTATAAACGTGCCTTAGAAAAAAACATGAGTGGTGTCCCTCTTGAGACAAAACGTTCAGTCAGTGCAAGTTTCTTTCAGCTGAAACAGCTCAGTCTGGGACTAGGCTTAAGACTTGTCTGTGAAACCGGGGGCTACTGTCATATTATAACTGTGTTTGTGGTAAGCATAATTGAACATATGATATTTGACATGCTGTACTCCACAGATCCGTCTCTCCTTGAGTATGAGAGGAATAAAGTTGCTATTGGAGCCTCTGGTCTGGTGCTGGGAATCATCATCACAGCTACTGGACTCATTTACTTCAAGAAGAAATCAATAGGTATGTGGAGATGAGAATAACTCAGATTCATATTATACTGCGTACATCATCCTTGTACACACATGTAACTTGTTAATCTTTTTTTTTTCTTTGACAGGAAGGATCCTAGTACCTTAGCAATGATGGTAGATTGCTCATTCAATTTTGATAACTCACTTTGATTAATTATACATATTTTCATTCTTAATTATGGGGGACAAATAATGACAAATGTACAATTTGCACAGAGCTTTGTGACATGGTCACAGCTTATTAGTTTCCAGTTATGTATGTTTTCAATGTGCTGTAAATTGTAATCACCTGTGGTTTTCCATCCTGGTCCTGGGGACATTTTCTGTCTCTCTTATCTGACACACTCAGGTTATGTTTATGCAATAGTTTTGCATGCAGAGAACAATGCGGATCGACTAAAGTAAACTTTGTAAAGAAACACAACACGCCTGCACACATACACACACATGCGCTGAATGCAAACAGTCAAGATGCATGCACACGGCATCACTGCTTTCACAAACAACGTTTTAATAACTATTCTGTGTGATTTATGTGTAGTAGAATAACTGTCTATGCCACTTTATATAGTGGCAATAATAACACAGAGAACATTATTCAAAGTTTAAAACTGACAACCCTAAAAGAAATTGTAATAAGCTGTGTTCTCATGAGTCTGTATGTACAGTACACTATACTGGAAACACCTGAGCCATAAGTAGATCAGTAGTTGTGCAAGTAGTCAATTTATCCTTCATGACACAACTATCATACACAATCCTAACTTCCATAATCATTTAACTAATGTTTTACATTTCTAAAATGTAAAAGAAGAAAAATAACAATGATAGAAATATAGCACAAAGTCTGATACTTTTTTCTTTCTTTTTTTTTGTAAGCATTATATGAATAAAAGATCATATTTGAGTATACGATCTTATTCAGCGTTAACAGTGATGTATGTGATGTCTGATGTATTGTTCTTGCTGAGTTCCTCTCTTGTATTTGTACACAGTAATGTATTATTTACTTTGATCTTGCATTGAAATATACAACAAAGGTAAACATTGTAACTGTCCCAGTGAAACTTCAAAGGGGCAAAATCACAAAATAATTTAGGGGAGGGTCCCTCAACTGAAAACGACACAAAACACAGTACGCCATTACAAAGTGTTCATATAAAATAAAGGCAATACACAGATCACTACAGCATATGCATGAAAAACATGAGTGCAAAACAACCCATTGCGTTTATCATTTATCAAAATAACAAAACAAAAACATATCTGGTTCAATAAATACTCGTCTCTAAGCCGAAGCATGCACTGACCCTTACCAAAAAGTAGTATACTTCAAGTTTATTTTAGAAAGTATACTTAAAGGGGTCATATGATGCGATTTCAAGTTGTCCTTTCTCTTTGGAGTGTTACAAGCTGATTGTGCATAGATAAGATCCCTGAAGTTGCAAAGACTAAAGTCTCAAAACCAAAGAGATATTCTTTATCAAAGTTAAGACTCTGCCACGCCCCCCTAAAACGGTTCGTTCTAACACGCCCCCACATATCTACATCACTATGTGGGAATATTTGCATAATGCGCCCAAATGTGCACGCAAAGAAAGAAGGCGTGGTTTCAGTAACCGCAGTTAGTGTTGAAGCAGCATGTCAGGGAGACGCTGTGTGTTTCTAGGAGAAAGCAAAAGCACTTTATTTGGCCTTCCGGAAGTAGATGCATTTAGGAATCTTTAAGATTACTTACAACAGAACAGCAATACATTTTATGGACGACCGTTTCGTGAACCTAGGAGAGGAAGTAATTCTGACTTTGCTATGACAATCCGGCGCTTCTGAATCAGCTACTGTTTTGTTACTAGTACTATTTCAATACTCCTTGGGACTAAATTGGCTCACTTGCTAGTATATAAAAGTATTCTTTTAAGTATAACAGTATACAACTAGTTTACATCAAAATGTTTAGCTTGTACTGCAACTATACTAAAAGTGAACTTATAGGTATACTGATAGTTTACTAATTAAATACTTGTAGTAGCATTTTTAGTACTTTTTTTTTAAGTATAGTCTCAGTAAACTACTAGTTATGTATACTCATAAGTTTTCTTTAAGTGAACTTTGCATCATACTTTAAGTATACTACTATGTCCCTATTTAGGTATTAATTAGCATATATTTTGTTACATGAATATCTGAACATATAAACACCAAAAGAAAGAACAGGGTGTCTGCTTGTAAACAAAAACATTTTATTCTAGCTTCATGCGTTCTTTTTTTAAACACTTGAATGTGGATAAGTTTCATAAATAAAGAAATAAACAACATTTTGAACAAAAAGCTGAAAAAAGACTATGAATTGGATTCAGAATGATCATCGAAACGTAGATGAAGTCGATCAACACCCCAAAGCTTGACAGTCATTATTACCTCTTGATTGGTTGACATTATATCAATGTTGCACAGTTTTGATGCTGTTTTATGTCTGATGATCGTGTTAGATTACATGTGGAAGCATCTGTTGTTTCGGTTTCTTCTTCACTTGTGTTTTTTGAAAATTCTGTACAGAAGCTGTGTACTAGCGCCCCCTACAGTATAACAATGAAAACACGCATTCTAGGAGCACAAGTATAGCTCAAATATATTCAGACTTTTTCTAAGTATAAGTCAAGTATACTTAAATGTCATTTTAAGTATATTTCTGAGAAGTACATAAACCCCATTTCTGAGAAGTACATAAAAAGTAGACTAAAAGTTTAAAAGAAGTATACTAATAGCACACTTGAATAAACTTCTTTTTCGTAAGGGTGAATCCGAATACTGAAGTCCTTGATGATGATAGAAGGTGAAAAAAATCCAATCATCCGATAGCAAGAGTATCGCAACCAATCGGCAATCCGAGCTTCCATAAAACATAGAGTGCGTTGCAATTCTTTGATGTTGATAAGTCCCAACGATGAGCACAGATTGAGTTATTTCTTAGTCCATTGATGAGGCATTCAGGATAAAGAAGAAAACAAAGAGTTCTTCTACAAAACAAACAACTAGTATTAGCATTTAACAACAGCCCATAATTTCACCACTAGTTAACTATTTACAAAGTAAGTGCAAAGTTACATGGCACAAAATAAACTGATACACTTACATGTTTGTACATGACTCGGGTCTTTTATTTATTTATTTATTTATTTTCTCGTCCGTAGCCTAATGCATGTGTAGCCTATTTCCCAAATCTAAAATAGCCTATAAAACACATTCATAGACGGATACTTTTCTGATGTCTGGACTCTGTTTGGGATTTAGAAAAACATAAAGAGAAGGTTCAGTATATTGGTAATGAATACATTCTGTGAGAATTTATAGTTCAGGTTTTGACCGTGAATGTCACGTCAGTAACGCTGGAATTGCCCAATAATGAAACTAAAAATGATTAGGCCTACATCAAGTCTCGGGGACAGTTTCTTATTACTGCAACATATTTTAACATTTGTATTGACGAAACGACTGCAGCGTAAAAAATTTTAAAAAACACCACGATCCGGGATTTGAACCTGTGTCGCAGAAATCACTGACTAGCTTCTACCACTGGACCATGGATTAACTTGATAAACATTGCGTGTCTGCGTACGCAAGACAGACGCGCTCTTCATTCATCTCACTTCGCAATTATAGAAATAACAGTGGCATCATGCAGATAATTCTTGTGTGTTTATTATAGTGTTCAAATGCTGATCTTATATAGGCCTAATATATATATTTTTTTTCATAATGAACTGGACTGAGCACGCTGCTTTCTGATGCTGCTTTTGATGAATAGCCTACAGCTAAACTGACTTATAGCACCGATGATAATAGCACCGTTTATTTTTCAACCTCACATAAAAATGATTAACGCAACAAAAACACTTTTTTGCCGTAATAACAACTACGACTTTTTTAAGTCGTTTACAAAAGCACAGAGTTTTGTTGATATTGTGAGTGCACACAAAAATTAGGGTGCACCATTTACAGTGCCGAATGAAATATTAGTCAAAAATGACGGCGTATTTCAAGTTGTTTCCACTGTTATGAAGAACAGAATGAAGTGATCGCGCTGGCGCCTCCGTGCATTAATAAGCGCGCTTCAGCTTCCACTCTCTGCACAAACGCTTATATATACGCCTAACAGAGCATTTTAAATGTTTAAACTAACATTGTAATATGCTTTAAGTGTTTTATATCTAGATATAGATTTTATTTTAAGCAAGTCGTGATGATTTGAGAAGGCTAAATTGATCAAACGTGATCAACTCGGCTGTCTGCCGCTATCCCGTTTTAATTAATACAAAGGAAGGATACAAAATGTTTCACTTAATGTTCGGCACATCATGGGCTCTGTATACGGGAATAAAATGTGTTAAAAAAAAGCCAGCTATAATGAATAAGTATGTGTGACCTGCTGAAAAACATCAGCGAATTATGAAATGTAAGTTTCAAGCCTTTCATAATTTGTGACATTAATGTGACTATAGTGCCAAAATATGTGTTAGAACTAGGCCTAGCCTATAACATGCAACAATAAGCCACCTTTTCAAGCGTTTTATTTTTTTTATGGCATAATGCACACCTCCTTAAATGCAATCTAAACATTCCAAGTTAATAACCTACTTTTTGTACGATTTCTAGTTTTCCATGTCGCAGTTTTAGCCTATTATTCTTGATTTCTCCCATTTTGTTAAAGGTTTTTTTATATTTTTTTATGGTGTGAGCCGGAGTACATTGCGACACGAATAAAGTCTCATGAAGTGCAGCCTTGTACAGAAGACCAACGGCCGAGGTCAGGATTTTTCGTTCAAAAACTTTCATTAGGCTGAAACGAAAGCCCCTTAATACAACATAAGAAAATTGTGTAGTTTTAATGGTTTTCATAATGACTGTTTAATAACACCATGTAGTAAGAGCCTTTGTGTAAATGTATTTATTTATTAATTTGTGATGCGTTAGGCTGCAGCCTATGACTAT